GGGGAAGGGAGGGAGGGGAGGAGAGGAGAGGAGAGAGAAGGGGAGGGGAGGGGAGGGCCGCTCTCTTCAGCGGTATAACATTGGAAAGTTACCTACCTTTTTTTGAACAGGGTTCACTCAGTGTGTGGCCCAGATGCTGTGAATTTCTCGCTCTTGCTTCAAAATCCCCAGTGCTGGTGTTGCTAGGATACATTAGCGCCCATGCCAGACATCCCTGGTAAAGACCGATGTGGGTTTTGTTTTCATGCATGTCTATATGCAAGTGTGTGTGTGTGTGTGTGTGTGTGTGTGTGTGTGTGTGTGTGTGTGTGTGTGGTACCTGCCCAGGCCAGAAGACAGGCACTGGATGCCCTGGAGCTAGAGTTACAGGTGGTGGTGAGCAGATAGATGTGGATGCTGAGAACCAAACTGCGGTCCTCTGGAAGAACAGCAAGCACTCTGAACTGCTGAGGCATCTCTCAGCCCTGCAAATATTTCTGAAATTAGATCCCTGTGGTCTGTAGGACAGAGGAGGCTGAGTGCTGGCTTTGCATTGAAAGAACAAATGTGAGCTAGTCACGATGCAATTTCAGCACTTGGAAGTTATAAGCAGAAGAATCAGGAGCTCAAGGTAACCTTCAGCTACAGAGTGAGACTGAGGCCAGCCTGGGATACATAAAGTGTGTGTGTGTGGTGGTGGTGGGGGGGCAGCACAGTAACCATCTTCCATTCTGCAATTGTAAGGACCAGTGTTTGGATCCCAGCATCCATTTAACAAGCCGGTCATTCTGCAAACACCTTGTAACTCCAGCTCAAAGGGGAGCAGAGGCAGGAGGGTTAGGGCAATTGCCAGCTTCCAACAAAGCTCGGAAAAACCTGAGCTCCAGGTTCAGGGTGAGATGCTACCCCAAAGGAATAGGCAGAGTGATAAAGGATGCCTGGCACTCTCTTTTTATCTGAGTTCATGAAAAGTTTTCATGCCTGCACACACACTTGGGTGGACACAGATGAAAACAGATAAAACACAAAAAATGTTAATGAATCCTTCTGTTTGAATGCAAAGTAGGAATTGAAAATTGGGATAAAATACAAGCATGAAATCAAACCACACACCAGCACCTCTTAGTCCTCTCACATCTCACAAGGCCATCCTTGCTTGTGAGATGGTCTTCAACTACACCTAGACCTTCATCACTTATTCTCCATGGCACATTTGCCAGAACTCTGACCCAAAAGCACTTTCCTGTCTCATTCCTTGTCTCCTCTGCAAGTCTGTAGGGTGGGACTAGTACATGGGCCTCAACTGTGACTATCTTCTAGACGGTTTTCCTTTCAAGGTTGCTTTTCCTCCATTGAACTCAGTAGACTGAAACGTGGCTTTCTGCATTTTTGCCAACCAATGCTCAGCCCTAGGCATAAAAA